AGAGCGGAATCATTTCGTTTGTTTTCCTGATAACTCGTAAATTAGTAAGAATAATCTAATAAAACGGCAAGTAAAGCGCAACTCAAAAATTAATCTCAAATATAAGATATTTCAAATATTAATTGAAATGAAATTTTAATTTTTTAAATAATATTAATAATAATAATAATAATATTAATATTGAAATAATATTAAATTTATAATAAAATTATACAAAAAGATTATTGGCGAATAAAATGCAAATACGCTTATTTATATAAAATTAAGTAGCATTTCAAATATTAAATTGAAATACAGCTTTAACTTTTTTGTTATCATTTAACGATATTTTTAAATATTACTTCACCAACAATTCTTGAATCACATGACGGAATCTTGAATTTTATTTTAGTCGAAATTTTTATGAGAATTACCAAACATGTCTTGCTTTTAAATTGCAAATAATGTAGGCGTCATTTCGTATTAATTTGCGACCGTTTACCTTGTACGGTACGCATAAATATTCTTAAATATAAAGAAATAAATAAAGATGTAAATGTTACCTGTTGCGCGTGTAGATCGGTGAGTTGTTGCAGCTCATCGATCGTCACGTCGTGAAGGAGATGATCCGAGCTGCGTCTTTCTTCATTCGTGGCCATGATCTGGACGGATTTCAAAAGAATTAAACCTATTCCTGAAACGATTATCCTCACATTGGAAGCTGAGTAATCGAGGATAAGAACTGCTAGATCACTTAAGTGATTAATCTTTTATTAATGTTGAATAAAAAATTAATTAAATTTATTATTAAATTTCTGATTAAATTTATTAAAATTAGTATTAAATAGTCGCTGCTATTTTAATAAAAACATATGCATTAAAAATTAATACGCAGAATATTGTAACATAGTTTGGAATAAATAAAAATTCAGATCATGCGAGATGTAATCTGATACAAGCACAATACACTTACTTTGGCGAGTTTTGTGCCAAACTCTAAAATCTCATTAGCGTAATTCGCACTCATATTACCAGCTCCCGCTACTTCGACCATAGACGTTATGTATCTTTTATACGCCGTTAATTCCGATTGAAAACGCCGTGGATCTAACAAGTAACGCTCACTAAATCCGGGGGATACTTGCTCCATCTAAAAAGATCGTCATAGTTTTTATATGTTATTAAAAAAATATACAGTATGTGAAAGAATTATTTTTCCACAAAAAACAATCAATTGGACTAATGAAAAAAAATCAAATTAAACTATTTAATATTAAAAGGAAATTGTCTTTCTTTCTTTTAAAATAAAAAAAAAAGACAAACAAATTTAGATAAGATATCAGAAAATAATTTTATTAAGATATCAGAAATTTAATAAAATTTTAAGAAATATTCAAATACGCGCTTTTAATCTTAATATAAAATGAAAAACGTATTTGAAGGTATGAAATAAATATTTTTTATTTTTTTGGATATTCAAATTCGCAAAATTATATCGAGTGATTTGATTAATCCTAATTTTCTTATTAAAATTTGTGACATTCTCAAAATTTCGGACATTCTCACCATCATTCGATTCCTCGTGGTGTCCTTAACGTCCTCGCTGATGTAAAAATTAATAAAGAGATTTAAGCCCAACGTTCGCTGCGCTATACCTGCCAGTCTCGACACGTCCAGCGAGGGTACTTTACCCTGCAATGGCGGATCTTTCGGCAAACCTAGGCTATCGAGTACTTCGAAGATCGGTTCCAATCCCAAAGCCTCGACACTCGCTGTAATCCGACAATTTTCCGCGATTTTAGAAAACACGTTCTACGATCGAGGCTGCAAATAAATGTTTTACAGCCCGGTGTTTAACGCGTATTTCCATCTTTATTATCAGTTACGCGGAAAGATTTAATGCGATCGTCGTGTTGTTTCTATTTAAATCATTTGCACGCTTGGTTTTCCCGATTTATGATCGCGATCGCCGCTCGGAGGCAAACACGAGATCCGGCTATTTCTTTTGCTAATAAAGCAGTCGATTCATCTTATTACGTTATTATTGACGCGACGATAATGATACACAGCAATGCGAGCGGCGTATTGTTAGGTAAGTTTATTCTTTCGAATTTATGCTTACGTAAATACCATTACGTGCATTCTATCCTTGCACGAAAGAGTGACAATTATTGAATAATTTATCGTCAAAGTAGGCAAATTACTAAAGTTCCGTTAACGATTGAGAATCTCAATAGAGAATTGGAACTCGTTTCTCTAACTTCTTCTCGTAGAAACAACATGTTTTGATTTCTAATTAAGATTAATTTATAATTAATTTCTCTTAAGCTTAATTTATAAATCTTGTCAATTTTGTTAATTAGTAACTATTATAAGCTTATTCGTTTTATTATTTATAAACTTATAGTATTTATTGTTTTAATTTATCAAATTATTTTTTAAAAAAATCTAATGGTAATTTAATATCCAAAATTTTGTTTCCTGCAGATTTCTTAAAATTGTTCTTCTTTTCAAAATATTTTATCATGTTATTTTAAGTCTAATTTTTCAAACTTACCAACATCCATGCAGGTTCTATAAAGAGCTCTTGCCATCTTCACTGGTCTGAGATCCGTTTCCTTATCTGGCTCCTCCAGTAAAATTCTTAAATTTTTCAAAAGCTCCTCCCTGAGCAAAGTCAGCTGATCCCAGAAACTCTGACTTTGAGGAATCGGATGCTTGCTGATCCAGCCGCCGCAGGCAAAATTGTAGAAATCATTGCAAGGATCTACGGATCTGTTCATCGCGCCTATCACTCGTGCCGCTACGATAATAAAAATAAATTTATCGCGAAACAATCTGAAAGTCCAATGTGATTGTAGATCGTCGTAATCGGAGCGAAACAAATTGTTTCGATAGTTTCTTTCGAGTTGAAAACTAGTCTGATCTTTATTTATTTATTTATTTTTTTAATAATCTCAGTACCTGTTTTAATGCATTCTTCGCTCTGACACATCTCCTTGTACTCTTCTCTGCGAAATACTGCCATCTGCAAAGTCAATGCTACGATAAGAGCGATGACGGTCACCGCTAATAGTCCGACGACAATTACGAGTCGCATTTCTTTTCCGCTTGACTTCTTCTCATCACGCTGATTGTAATTCCTGTCGAAAAACAATGGGAGGATAATAGACGACAATTTATAACATAACTTAATCGGCAATTAGATAATTTAAATAATCGTAATTAAAGAAGATATTTATAGACATTCCCTTATTTAAATAATAAAAATTTGTTTCGCTGATTCTTCATAAATCAATTCAGTAATTTTTATCAAAAACAAGATCTAATCCGAATTTTTTTTTATATCATTATATTATTATTAACTTCAGAAATATTAGCAGGCAGAAAACTCTTTGCAAGTAATTTTTTTAAATAAAAAAGAATATCTAAAATTGAATTTTCAAAATAATATCAAGTGTTTCAGCTTTCTTGTAAATTTAATTGTTCTAACAATACTTATCAAAATTTGTATCAAAATGCATTATCACAAAGATTATACAGAATATTTTGAGAACCGTTCTCAAATTAGTCCGCAAATAACCTTTCTTGTTGATGTGCACTACTTAGACTATCAAATTACCAAATTAGATCACATGACAAACATAAATGGAAAAAGAGAGAGAGAGAGAGAGAGAGAGAGAGAAAGAGGAAAAAAATTTAAACAAACAAGTGTATCTATAAACATTTCAATCCTTAGAAGGTTCAAGAGGATATAAAGCAGTAACTAGAAGTGATTTTAATCTCAAAAGAGTATTGTAGAAAATTAATAATTAGTAATGCAGAATGAGAGGAACTGGAAGTAAGAAATAAGACATTGATTTTTTTATAAGAATTTTTTAGAGAAAAAAATGTTTATTACCAGGAGACGTCGCCATTTGTTTTCGCATTCTCAACTGTGTCTCTCTCATTGGCCTCCGGGTCATTCACCTACAAAAGAAAAATGATGACAAATTTTACAATAACTATCTATTATTCATTCCTTTACATTTCTTATTCTAATGAGGGTCTTTTGGAAGAGGCACTGGCAATATTATATTTGTAGTAACGACGTTAATGCACCGCGGGAAAAGCTACTTTGATCTGACAAAGCGGCAAGATCTTATAACTTGATTTCCGCACTTCGTGCCTTGAAAATATGAGAGATCAAAGTGCAACTAAAACAGATGCATCTTGTATAATATAATCAGGGACCTTGAAGCAACACTATGAGAGCGATTCAATGAGAGCAATTAGCTCGATTTTCCGGAATTGCATTCAAATCGGGGAAAAAACGAAGATTCCACCTAAAAAGTCTCGCAGCAAAACAGATAGAAAAAGTTTATATCCTTATCTATTAAAATAACCAGAATAAGATTACAGTTTGATAAAAATAGCAGCTATCATTAGCGTTATTCGCGGAAAATACAGGATTCTAAGTTTTGCTAACGTGATACATCTTTCGCCTGTTTTCCGAAGGCGTGGCGGAGCGATGGCGGAGAGTACACTTAAAAATAGAATATACTTAAAAGAGATCGCTGATCAATCAACGTGAACGACGCGCATCCAAACAATAAGCGCGCTCGCGCGCCTCGGACGTTTAATTCCACATCTGGCCGGGGCCAGATCTTACGTAAGCCCGCGGAGTTTGCTTTTCATTTTATTTGTCGCGTCACTGCCGCGAATACCGAATAGGACGGTTTCGGGTTTAATGGGGCCGAGGGTCGCGAACGCGACAGGATATTGGCCACGAGGAGAATAATGCCCGAAGTGGTTCCGCCGATTCTGGGGCAAGGTGAGCGTATCGATCATTACCGCAATGACACCTCGTCGATTTAAGCCACGTGAAACGGTCGCTCTTTTTCCCGGAATTACGACACGCGAGGAAACAGATCGGAAATAACGATCTTATTGTCCTCCCCCCCTTCCCCTCCCCCTGCACGAAACGCGATTGGTACTCGAGTCGAAGAGAAATTAAAAATTTAAATTATCGCTTTGTCATCGATACATAAATTACATACCAAGTGTAATATAAAGTTACTTTGGAATTAACATATCAAAACTGTGCGATAAGCGTTCTGCGATATTTTTAACAACCGAGTCTCCTTCATTAAAAATAACTTTTGTCAATATCTATTAAAAGATAATTAATTTCGTATTTAATTTGCCGCTTATTTTTAGATTATTTTTAGATTATTTAATTATAAAATTGACAGAAATAAAAAATTACGGTTTATTTGGAAGCAAATATTGATTTAAGGCGACCCAATTCCCAAGTCATTCTCTCCTTAGCAACTTCGATTAATATTAATTGTGGCTACTATAAATGTTTCTCGTGTATATTTGTACGCCACCCCGGATGTTAATCTGTCAGATATGTGCTTAACTAAAGAGTGCTTAACTAAAATTAATGAAGTAAAAAGTTGACGCAATTGACTCTGATATGGGGCATCTCAGGATTTCTTCATTCTCTTTTAACTTCATTAACGAGCATGTGTCTAACATATCTTCTTTCGCTTCGCATTATTTTATTAATCCTTTCACTGTCCGTGATTCCGAATGATCTCATTTTTCCGAGCCTATAATTAACGCGTAATTTTAACACATTTGCGCATGTTATAAGAACGATTCAATGAGAGCAATTAGCTCGATTTTCCTGTATTGCATTCAAATCAGAAAAAAAGAAGATTCCATCTAAAAAATCTTACAGCCAAAACAGACAAAAGTAGAAAAAGATATAATGTATTATCTTGTTGACTGCGGTTTAAAATAAAATTTTTAAATTGAGAAAATGTGTCTTTTTCAAAGCAATTTTCATGTAGATTATTGAATTTTTTTCTCTGTAAGACAATTGATTCTGTCTTTTTAAAATCATTACGGCGTTAAATTAATTACGGCACGGCTGAAGTAATTAGATAAATGTCACTGATGCTGTTTGACGTTGCTGAAACCGACCTCCTCGGAGGATTACACAGTCGTCCTCGTGTTTAGACGAGAGACGAGAATCCGATTTTCCGCGTGTGGTACATCGGCTTCCGTTCGACAATGTTCCCATTATATGTGCTTCGACCTATCGAATCAGCGGGCTTGGCGAGAGAAACACTCGGACGCCGGCGCCTTTTTTTGTCTCCTTCTCTCTCTTTCTCTCTCTCTTCCTTTTATCTGCCTATCATGTAAATCATACGAACTTACGCAATCATGTAAGTTCTGCTTTATTCCCCCTCCCTATTCGCGTAAACAGACTGATTCTCTACGATACCACGATTTCAAATTATTTTTAGCTGTTCTCTCTGTTTGTTTCTCCTCTCCTTCTTCTCTTTAATCTTCTGCCTGAATGAAAAAAGTGCCATTCGTATATTTAACAATTAATTGATATCACTAGCAATAAATCGTGGCAAAAAGTTGAATGTGAATATTTTATTATAATGCAGAAATTTTCTTCTATTAAGTTAATGAAAAAAATCTTCTCTTAGGAATAAAATGTAACTTCCTATTTTTTTTCCATCAGTTGTGCAGATTCGCGTTAGATTATTATTTTTTTTGTTCTTCTCGTAATAATATAGCAATTCGATTTTTAATGGTCGCATTCAATGATAATTATAAAAATAAAAATTTATTTTATTATTATAACAATTTTCCTTACATTTAACTATTCTCACGTAACGTTTTTTACCGTGCGAAGAATTTCAAATTTGCGTGAAAATTCAAAGAGAACAAATATGATATTTATTTCCATTGCATCAATAGGCGTCTTCCACATTGATGCGACTGATGCTATTTGATGGCCACTCGGCAAGTCGATAATTCATGTCATCGGTCTCATTCGCTTCCGCGCATCCTTGTGGCCCAGTAATTGTCATGTGACATCGCTTCCGATATGGTATTGTCCTTGCAAGTCGCAAGATTTCATCGTTTAATGCCCAACCGAAAAGCCACGGATAGAGTCTACCTGCTAAACGATTAGCGGGTACGTCTGACATTGAGATCCACGGCGAATCGACGGAATCTCAATTTGTCGATCGAGGAAGTACTTGCAAACTGGCTCACGTCCGAGAGAAGTCCCTTTTCCTGTTGTTTGTTTTGTTTCATTATAAATACACTCCACGGCGAGATGACGACTGATTTCGTTATGCGTAGCTTATAACGGGAGTCATTGAATATATTTCGATGAGATCACGAGAGACTTGGAGCTCGCCATTGTCCCATCGCGGAATATCGCGCGTAATTAATTCTTTACATTACGTTGACAGATCCTTCCGCGATCGATGATGATTTGCGCGACAAACAACCAGAACCTAGCACGGATAATTCAATTTTCCTGTGTCTATTCTGCATTATTTCTGATGTTCAAAAATGTGAAAAATTGCAAAATCAATTGCTTAATCATTTTTTTCCAACGAATAAAGAGTTCGCTTAATTCTTAAATTTTCTAAATTAAATTTCTTAATTTTTTAAATATTTAAATATTTGAATATTTAAATTTTTAAATAAAAAATTATTTTAAAAGAACATATTCATTGTTCATAATAATATAATCTTTAAAATTAATGACAAAAGAGACAAAGACCTCTAGAAATATTTATTTAGACTTTATATTATATATATCTTTAATTGCGTTATCAAATAAGGAATTTTATACTTGCTTCTTCAAAATAATATATATTTTCTTTTTTTCGAAATAATTAAAAATCAATTCAAATTACATCATTTGCGTAAACATGGAAGAAAAAACTTTGGCAAAGTCTATTCGATGGACAATGCCTATGCGAATAACATGGCATTTACGTAACAATGTCACTATTTTGAATTCTCAAATTGCTTATGTTCCACTCTGCTGAATGAATTTAATTGATTTTCTTACTGTTGACACTCGTTTAATCGTCTAATGAGCAAAATTAAGCGTTAATTAAACATGAGTTTTAATCATCGATATTATTAATAGTAATATGTAATAATTAGTAATTTTTTATATCAACGACTGTGTTACAATTTCAAATTGTGTTACAAATTAGCTCGTATTTCATGATTTCATGATAAATATGGTAATTATTTTAATTTCAAGTATGATTAGAGATAGCATCAATTTATCGGCATATAACTTTTCCTTGCTGATTAATTCTTGCTAGCTAGAAATCGATATGAGTAAGCTTCGAACATCGTGTACCTATGACGACGTATCGTACAGTATTTATTTATCGTTAGTATTTTCTAACTCATCACGTACGAGACGAATGTGAGACGTTATCAAAGGCATTGACTCCAATCGTCACGCGCATGTGAGTATCTCTATCGTTCAATCTTGATATCGTGCTGTACGTTTCTCATCATATCTGAATTAAATTGGCATACTAAATACCGTCAAAGCGAATATATACATGGTAAGAATAGTTTGAAATATTTAAATATTTAAAACTTTGGTTAGATACAGATCTGAGAGGGATCTAATTTTTTAGGCTAAAATAATTATATAGAATGCTTAAGTATGATGATAATCTAAAAATAATTTTTTATATTCCAGCAACTATTTCGAATATTTTATGAAATTATCTTGATAGCCTGATAATATTATTTTGTATGTTTTGTTTCAGTTTTCTGTATGTGCTTAAATTTTTAAATACTTCAGCGAAAGTATTCTTTCTGTGTATCTTAAATACATGGAAAGAACAAGTTTTGCTGAAATATATAAAAATTTAGTCAGATACGGAAAATAATGTTGTTAGATCATCAAAATAATTATGTAGAATAAGCATAATGAAAATACTAAATTTTTGATGTTTTAGCAACAAATTTGAACATTTTACAAAATTATCTTGATCCTGATAATATATTCTCTATGTAGACAAATTTTTAAATATTTGAAGAGTAAAATTGCTCTTTCCATGTATAAATACATATTATAATGAATTTTTTAACGACTTTAAGAATTTAGAATTGCCAACACAATTTTTACT